CACCCAAATCTGAGCACACGGGCCTACAACATTTCCGCCTCCATCGGAAATGCAGCCGCCGCAGCCGGGATTCGAACCCGCGCCCTGCGGGTCAGCAGCCGAGTACCTTAGCCACTAGACCACCGCGGCGGGGCGTTCATACTGGATGTCCCTCACACTAAAGGAACTTCATCTAGTCCAGGATAAGGCTCAGGCGTTCACCGAAAGTGACCTACACTTGCCAATATTCGCATCCTTGCGCACTGAGCTACAATTTTAATTCACCTTCACATACAGCCAATGGAACTCGCGCTCGATGATCTGCGCCTGTACTCGCAACTGGGCCATTGGCATTTCTGTTACCTTCAGAAGGTCTTCTGCAGCTGTACGAGGCATCGTTTGTGGGCTATATACAGTACGCATCGTTTGTGGGCTATATACAGTACAGCTCACGTGTGCTTTCCAGCATGTGTGCAACGTGCTTTCGTACCTTGGAGAGCATTCAGACACGAGCACTGAGGACATGCCTAGGCCTGCCACGGTGCACGTCAACCTCTGGCATTATAGAGCAGTCCCACACCTACCCTATACACATTTCCAAGTCCTGTGAGCCTCTTCAGGTGTACCGTCATCTGCTGCCCTGACATGCACAGCACCTGTTGTCTTCACTAAAGCAGACCGACCAGGCTGTAACCATTCACCATGCCTCGATACGCGCAGACATATGATCCCTTCAGACTTAGCACCCTCCGTAATCTCCGAAGTGTCTCCATGGACATTGACTAAACCACTCGTGTGCCTTTACATACATGAAATTTGGAATGAGTCGCACGTTCCTAATGTTGCCCCCAAGTGACTCGCCTTGGCATATTGGGCTGACCGGTACATCGACTCTGTGCACATCTACACCGATGGATCCATAACTTCGTCCACCTCAGCTGCAGCCTGCGTGATCCCTCAATTCGGAATTTCCCGGCAGTACAAATTATATCACAGGTCATCTTCGACAGCTGCGGAACTTGCTGCTATACAGGACGCTATACAATTTGTGAAAGGCCAAGCACCGCGTAAATGAACAATTCTGATTGATACAAAGTCAGTGCTTCAGGCAATAAACTCTTGCTCAAGAAGCGGCCAATATTACGAATTAGCATTAGTAATAGTCCAAGCATTCGACCTACCTCATAGAAGTGGGCATTTGATTAACTCCAGTGGGTTTCTGGACACTGTGGCTTGGTTGGTAACGAACTAAACGAACTAGCAGATAGGCTGATAGCAAAGCAAGAGCGGCAGTATACAACGGCCCATGAACGTCAAAGTACCATAGCTCCCAAAGTGACATCAAAATATTGTTGAGATCGCTCATGCGTGAATGCACAGCCACTTATTGGTGGCAACCACATCATCGGAACAAGCGTCTGCGAGAAACCAACCCCGATATGACTTTTCCGCCTTCACTCTAAAATCGGCCGACGACATGCTAGTGTGCTGCAACGGATTCGCCTGGGCGTTGCCTTCACTCGACACTACACCCACGTAATCAGGCATGCGGACCGCTCGAATTGTGGGCACTGCCAAGTGCACGAAACTTTAGCCCATATATTTTGTGCCTGCCTATTATACGTGACGCAAAGGAAGGTGCTAACTTCAACAGTTGGCAAGCATCAGACGAACATCACTTTGTGAAAGCTACATTTTATCAGCAATGTGCAACCAACCAAACAGTGTGCAAAACTGCCAAAAAGCCTTTTATCAGACGTTATCAAAAGCACTGAAGTGGATACTAAGCTGTAGGGTACTATGCAAAGTGGCTACTGTACATATGCACCACCCTCTCCTGTCCACATCATCTTTCATCCCTCTTTCATTCCTTCTGCCCTTATCACCTGTGTAGAGTAGCAGGCTAGAGCGCACTAGCTCAGGTTGACCTTTTTGCCTTTCAATAAATTCTCACACTCTCTCACAGTCACCAACACGTCTCATCTGCACTGACGTGACAGCAGAAATGGATTTCTCTGGTTAAACTCAACGTCAGTCAAGATGTCTTTGTCAGCATCGTCAGTGCTGTCCATGACTTGTATTTATAAGCTTGCAGATGAGCTGAAGTTAGCGAGAGTTATTAGCTTGTCTAAAAACTCTCACCATTTGCAATTAACTCTCACCATTTGCAATTCACCAGGTTAACAGAGATGCATATGCGAGCAAACAACACAAAGTGATTGCAGTTGTAACTGAGTGTGCTCTATGCTACTTCAACAGGAAATAGGCGGCAGCAGGATGCCACAAACATGCTTCTTTACAAATTGTACTTTTTCCAGCAGAGAATGCTCATGAAGCACACATCTAGAAAGCAGTTGTTTGAAAGAGCATTGAAGGACGTTGCTACCAGTGCTTGGTGACCCCACTTTAACCTTGGACATCTTTGCTCGGATATGCAGCGGGCACTAATGCATTGAGACCTGCGTTGAGCTGCTTCAGCAAGGGTATTGCCCACAAAAGGAATCAACAGCCAGTTAACATACAGTATGTAAATGCTGCTGCTCACACCAGGATGACAAGGCATGTCCTCTCTAATGGCTGATCCACTAAGACGGTAAAAAAAAAGCTTATGAGCCATTACATTCTGCGAAGAAGGATGGCAAGCGAAGCCGCGTAGTAGACCGATTTATTTATTATTTATGCATTTATATATTTTACTGTAGCGTATGCTCATTTTTAGCACCTCGATTTGCACAGGCTAGAACTGCAGCACACAGGTTATTAGTATATGCATTTATTTCAGATGTTCATTAACTCAATGCAATTATCTCATTACTAAAATAATCTATTAGTTAGCACCAATTTCAAGTCAACCCTTAGTGAGTAGTTGGGTTTGCCAATTTATGTGGCGAATATCGGTGAGGGCTTTCCTGTTTAGCAGGTAATTTTTGACTAGGATTCCCACAGCTGCAACAGGTCCATATTTCTTAAAACCCTCAGGCTCGCAGTCGCATCAACCACCCAGTTCGCCAACTGCTGTCTGAGCTTCATCCGGGAGGTGTTGGTCCCTTCGGCTAAATTTGAAGGTATAGGCCATTCAGGAAAATGACCACGGCTGTTTTCTGCAGAGTTACATCATCATCATTAGCCTGAATACACCCGCAGCAGGGCTGTAGGCTCTCTCCTGTGTTCGCAATCGACCCTGTCGTGTGCTTTCTGCTGCCACGTTATAACCACAAACTTTTTAATCTCATCAGTCCACTTAACTTGTTGTACCCTCCTCGCATGCTTGCCTTCTCTAGGGATTCAGTCAGTTACCCTTAATGACCAGTGATTATTCTTCCTATGCACTACATGGCCAGCCCAGGTTCATTTCTTCTTATTAATTTAACTATGATATCTTTAACGCCGGTTTGTTCCTTGACCCACTCTGCTCTCTTCTTGTCTCTTATTTCCTTTTTATCGCTCACAGCGCCGTCGTCAATTTAGGCTGAACCCCCTTTGTAAGCCTCCAGGTTCCTGCACCATAGGCAAATACTGCCAAGATGCAGCTGTTATATACCTTCCTCTTGAGGGTTAGTGGCAGACTACCATTCATGATTTGAGAATGCTCGCCAAATGTGCTCTACACCATTCGTATTCTTCTAGTTACTTATCTCATGGTTTGGCTCCGCAGTTACTACGTGTCCTAAGTAGACGTATTTCTTCACAACTTCCGGTGTATTTCCACTTATCGCAAAGCGCTGTTTTCTGCTAAGACTGTTGCACATTACTTTGGTTATGCACATATAAATTTTCAGCATTACTCTTCTGCTTTCCTTGTCCAGTTCAGTGATCATGAGCTGTAATTCGTCTCCCGAGTTACTCATAAAAGCAATTTCCCGAGCATATAACAGGTTACTAAGATAATCTCCATTAACTATTATTCATAACTCTTCCCTATCTAGGGTTCTGAAAGCTTCCTGTAAACATGCGGTAATAGCATTGGAGAGGTTGTGCCTCCCTGTCCTTACACCCTTCTTTATTGGGATTCTGTAGCTTTCTTTATGAAGGACTATGGTGGCTGTGGATCCACTGTAGATTTCTTCTTGCCAGTATGTTTATTTAGGGTTCATACATGTCCCGATTCCATAGCGCTTGCATCACTGCTGATATCTCGACCATGTCAAATGTCTTGTCGTAACCTATTAAGACTATACATAGGGGGTTGGTTGTATTTCGCGCATTTGCTCCATCACTTGATTAATAGTATGAATATAATGCAACTGTGGAGTAGCCTGTACGGAAACCTCTTGGTCCTTTGGTTGATTTAACTCTAATGTCTTAATTAAATTTGATATTACTATTGTAAATATCACGCAGAAAATGGAGAGTAAGCTGATTTGCCTGTAATTTTTTAAATCCTTGATGTCCCCTTTCTATTAAATTAAGATGATGTTGAGATTCTTCCAATATTCTGGTACCCTTCCCATAGAGAGAAACTTCGTATACAAGGTGACCAGTTTTTCTAACGCAATGTCTCCGCCATCTTTCAACAGGTCTGTTATATTATCCTCACCAGCGGCTTTGCCCCTGTGCATTCCTTCTAGGGCTTTCATTACTTCCCCTGTCACTACTGGTAGGATTTTGAATTCTTCTGGACTATTATTGCTTTTCACGATAAGATCCTGGTTGTTTTGGCTTCTGTAGAGCTCTCTGTAGAACTCGTCTGCCAACTCGACTATCCTATCCATATTGGCTATGACATTTCCTTCCTTGTTCCTTAATTCATACAACCCGATTTTTGCCTATGCACAAGTTTGCCTTCGCAGATTATAGACTTCTCTTTTTACAACTGGGTCGATTCTCTCTATGTTATACTTTCTCATGTCGGCTACCTTATGCCTATTGATTAACCTCGAAAGTTCCAACAGCTCTATTTTGTCTGTAGCATTTGAAGCTTTTTTTATCTCCTGGGATAGCAAGCCGGTGTCCTGTCTAATTACTATCCCTCCAACTTATCCAGCTCCACTGTAAAAGCCTAAAATGTAGGGGGCACTTACCACCACCATGAATGCAGAAACCCAGGAGGTTCCCCTAGCGTTATATTCTTCTCCCATCGAATCTGCAAAACGTTAAGAAAAAATAGGGTGTCAGGGACCACTAAATAAGCAGCTGGTCCAGGGCAAATCAATAAACGTTTACATGTTCACGAAGAGAAAAAAAAAATGCCACAACTGCACGGAAAGCACAGCACAATCACAGTGAAAGATTAAAAACTGAAAACAGTATTAAAAACTGAATGGAGTGAGTAAGGAACAGGATGATGAAGAGCAACAGTTGCTGTTTATTTCAGAATAAAGCAGGGGTGTACAGCACCATAGAAATTTTTTTAAGAATCAAACAGCTCCAATTGATTCAGTGGTTGAAATGAATAGCTGTTATTTAAAACACTCAATATGCATCAAATCAGCATTAGAGTAAGAATACCACAAAAATCGAGGAGGAATTTTTATTTTTCTAATTTCTCATTTTGTATGGACATTACAAATTTATCATAACCCAAGGTTATATACTACTGTGGCCTCTGTAGCGTTCTTAGGGATATGCTGCTACCTATAAATAATCACGTGACGAGGACATCCACATGGTATCACTCTATTATACACTTAATCAACATACAAAATTTAGGCCTACTACAAAACACGCTCACGAACTGAGACATTACAATAATTTGCCACAATAAAAGAAACTTGTATGTATAGCTGCAACAGCGCAACATCACAACAGCATAACAAAAAAAAAAGGAAAGGCACAGGTCCACAAGTATCAATTTCCCAAGGATAAACTGCTTGTGTTCTCCTGTGTTTCCAACAAGCAAGGTACAATGCGTACCTACTGAAGCACACATGCCAACAAGTGTAACAACACATAGTAACAAGGCAGCAGTCACTACCTGCCAACATGACACGGTAAAGGTACAGGAAAATGGATAGAAAGAGCACATGTTTGAAGTTTGCCCTTGGGCCATTTTGTGGGACAAATAAGCCCTCCACAGACATCTCGTTTTTCGAAGAAGCACAAGCGGCAACCAACTTGCAAGAGCGACTACTGAGCAGCAATGAGTTTCTTTTTTCTTTTCATGATGATGTTTATCCGACTATGCCGCACTTGCTTGCGCCTACTTGAGGAAGCTCACTAAACAAAAAAAAGTAGCGCTCCGAAATCCTTCGTGTGTTGAGGTAGCAGGTCAACAAGAACCAAAAAGCGAAATGCATATAATTGTCGGGGCTGCTTCCTTGAAATCTGACAAAGCGCCAATGAAGTATAAAAATTTGCCCATAATCGCTAACTTTAGGAAAAAATCTGAACAGGTATTGGTGTCTACACCTTGATGAATAACTCATTGTTCTGGGGGCACTCGACCTTCATTCATTCAAGCAACACAAGCATCCAGGACGCACATTACTGGGACTGTAATTTAAGCGTGCCACCAGGAAGCTTTGAGGTGTAAAGGAGCACAGTCAGCATGCAGCGCAGCATGTGCGCAGCAAAGGTGTTTGTTGCAAAGAGGAAAACATAACAAACAAAAAACGCCAGCACGAAGAAGCATAGGCCAGCTGCTGCACAGCTGCCCACATACCAAATGTGACGCAGATGGCTTCAACACGATACAATGGAATGCTGCTCAACACAGCTGTGGCATTTGGGCACATGCCTACAGCAGACTCAAATGGCTCGAGTTGCTTTTCGAACAAGGCCGCGAGACTCGCTCGAGGCCGAACCTGACGGCGGGCCCACGTGTCAGTGTAGTGTCTAGACTGCAAATGTGTTTACGGGTACTCAAGAGCGATTTCCACAGCAATGTCCCAGTAACGTATGAGAAGAGTTTAATGTGTACTATCAGACAAGCTGATATCAGCAACTCGTCAAAGTGCAGTGTGACAAAGTTGATCCATCACAATTGCCGGGTAATTGACCACCATCACTCAGTCGTAACAAATCACTGACAGCGTAATGAACGAAAGATGGCCACACGGACTGCCATAAAGTAGTGTACGCACTTTAAGTATCTCCTAATGCAGCGTACTATACCAACAAACTGAGAGCTAATTCAAAGAAAACAAATATTATAGATTATCATTATACGTAACCTCGAAGGACCAGGAGTTTCATTTACTAAGACACAAAAAGGGGTAAAGAATACCAATACTAACTAGACCAATCATATCAGACAGTTGTTCCACTTAGACAAAAATTCTGTTTTAACAGATTTGCGTTGAGTGACTTAATAATACATGGGCTTTTAGCTCCCAAAACCAAATATGATAAAGAAAGACGCCGTAGTGGAGGGCTCCGTAAATTTTGGCCATGTGGTGTTCTTTAAGGTGCAATGACATCGCACAATGCGCAGGCCTCTACCATTCACCGCCATCGTTTGCGACTGCCATGGCCGGGATCGAACCCACGACTTTTAAGTAAGCAACTGAGCACTGTAGCCACCGTTCTCCGCCAAGGCGTACTCTGTTCAGTGAGAGTCAACCGTATGTATGTTTGCCTAGCTGGTCACCGGCCTAAAAAATAACTCTCCCAGCTGCGCTTGCTGCTGAAAAGATTTCCAACTTTATGTGTGTATTAACGTGGTCTGCACAAGCACTTTACAGATGAGTCGATAGAATGAGCATGCCGCTGACCTTCACAATGCACTCCTGAAATTTTCATCACATAAAACGATGAATCAGTAGGTCTGTTTTACTATCAACCAAAAGTCCGTGCTTTAGGAGATGGAAGTTCATCTATCCTGCAAGCCTAAGTTCCTGGAACAACAAAAGTTAGGCCTAGCCTCAATACGAGACTTAGAGAAAATATAACTAACTTGAGGTGAGTGGTGGTGACATTGTGTAGTTTTTCACAACGCTTGCCCATGACATCCAACTTAAATTAGACATGGGTCACTCAACAGGCCGGTAAATACATGTTTCAATCCTCCACTGCTTACTTGCCAGTCCTGCAGATTGACAACTGAATGGATAGATACAGCAAGAACAGCAGTGATAGAGGCATGCGTGGAGGAAGTACTCGGTCTATGAAATTCAAAATACCTAAAAATACCTAGACAAGTCTGCCCTCAACTCAATCTTCGCAGTGTCATGACTCCCATGTCTCTCACCCGCTCACATAAATGCCCTGCCGCCAATGAGAGTTGAAGCCAAATGCACCAACAGCAAGGGTGATGAGACAACTATGTACTGAGGGATCGATGTAAAGGGCTTTTACTCCTTGAACTACGCTCTACGAGCATACCGCCCAGCTGATGCCAATGGTCCTCGAAGGGGAAAACGAGCTTCAGCGTACTGGCAAATGCTTATGTGCACTTTCGTTTGCACAGATGCTACGAGAAAAATGCTGCCAGCAGCACCCTTACCCTGTTTTTGTAGTTGTAATGCTTCCTTTATTAATGCAATAGCATTATACAGCTAATTTTACAGAAATAACGATGTTGGCAGTCAGTGTCGGTGTCGTCCATTGTGAGAGAAATATCAAGCGTTGTCCATGACCAAAAAATTGAGCAAGATGGAAATAAAAATAATACAAACTTTCCATTCAAGTAACAATCAAACTGAGGCTTTCTGCGTGACAAGCATATGCTCGATCAGAGAGCCACACCGTTGTTTTAAATGCTTTTGGGTTCTCTTATAGCTACATCAACAGCAGATTCCAGGCAAGAATGAATTGCTTTGCATTCAGAATTATATAAATTCTGGAACTATCAGAAAGCTACAGACGCATAATAAGTAAAGATACCATACAATCTTCAACATCAAAACTACGATTAGACCTGATGTTTGGATTAGAAGTTATGGTAAACAACAATTACAATTTTTCCACACACACAGACAAATATTTTTCTGTATTGGAACCACGACCGTTCAAGTGCAACTAAAGCTTATCGCATAACTACAGTTCCACAGTTATAAACCTGAAAGCAATGCAAATGTCCATCGCCTAGAGCCGTGTTCCTGTTAACCATTGAGTCAATAAAACACTGTATTCACACATTATTTATACTGCTCATGTTTGGGACATGCCAAGTGCACTTTACGATGTGCATGAACCAGAAACCGGGCCCTTTACTGAAATGACTGGCAAAAGAAGAGTACAACCACAATACACAGCACTCTCAAAAGTTGCACTCATTGATCTTATTACAATGTCTGATTGGGAGGACCAGAGGCTACGGTGCTCAGCTGCTGGCCTGAAGTTTGCGGGATCGATCCCGGCTGCGCCATCACATCTCGGCGGCAGCGAAATGGTAGAAATGTACTGTGTGATGTCAGCGCACGTTAAAGAGCATCAGATGGTCAAAATTTACAGAGTCCTCCACAATGGCATCTCTCATAATCGTATTGTGGTTTTGGGACTTCCGATTCAAGATGTTATCTTATTACAATGCATATGCCGCCAAGCAAGCTTCGGTACATCATGTTTCTGCACGTCACGTAAGGCATAAGTACAAGCAGTTAACATTGCACTAACACAACGAAACAACCCGCCTTTTGAGGACAGGCACGACGTATCGGCACATGAAAACGCAGCGTGGCTGGATGACGATGTAAGCAGCAATCCACAGTAGGTGTACTTCATCAAGCAATGGCTTGCAGGTGGCAATACCGATTTCACGGCCAATACCCAACTTAAAAGGCCGAACTTAAATTCAACAATGTTTCAATATAACAAAATAGACCACTCACTTTTTTTATCGAGGTTTTACTGTACTTTGTTTCTCTGGCGCAAGGCCACCCCACGAATATTAAAAGGAATGATCTTACTACCAAAATTCTCAACCAAGAAACAGTGATGCACATGCAAAAGGAATGCTTTGATAGGCATCACGTGAATGGTCGAAACATAAAGCATTACACTTTCTGCTCGAATATATATTGTGATTAAATATTATATGAAGGCTAATATAAGTTTAAACAATAATTCGCCTCCAAACAATCAGAGCGACAAGTTTCTGAATCAAACCACCACCAATCCTTGCTTACATCTGTGACCGAAAGAGTGTGTATCTGCTACAAGAAGCAGCACAAAGATGCACAAAGGTGTCACTTGCTACAACAT